TAAAATAGAATGAATACTAAGAATAATATTTAGAATTATACCTGAATTAATATTGTTCCTATTTTTATATTTTTATTACACATAATTGGAATAATTAAATCTATGCCTTTTTGATTTCTTTTACATAACACAGCACCACGTCGTTTATAGATTGAAATAAGATCTTCTTTAACTGGTACATATGTGACTGGAATGAAATGTGTAAATCCTAACATAAAATCATTGAAGTGGGAAAACTTTTCTTTTGGAAATGCATAACCAAGAAGTTCTTGAAGGAAATCAATAACTGGAAATCGAGAAGAAAATGTCACCTATACATATGATAGTGAGAATGAGAACACAAAAAAGTGATAATTAAGAAATGCCAACTTATAAATACCTTAGAGTTAATTGACTTTTTTGAGAGGACTAGATGATGCCAGGCATTCAACAATAATAATCTTACAGCAAGCTCACCTTGAGTGCCAGCATCAAGAATACCACCTGATCGAAAAGTGTAATCTAATTCTTGAAGAACTTCTTTCCAATATTTCCCTCTGACATTAATTCTAATGAAGCCTCTGAAAGTATAGGTTCAGAAGGGTATGTGATAATATAATTTTCGTAATCTTTGTCAATTGCAATCAGAGTAGCCATGTGTGCCCTAACAAGTTCTGGTGCAATGCTTGATGCTGGGGAGACATATAAAGCAGCAGTGCATGCAATTAATGCAAGAGTGACAGTCCTCTTCCATTGACTATTAGATTTACCTATATTCCAGCTAGAGGTACTTCCAAGAAGTTTGGCTTTTGCAAGATTTATTACATCACGAAATTTAAATTGATTATCTGAGTGTTTACTAGCTACCCAATTAGATGCCCAAAGAGGCCTACCAAACTGAATAATATCATGTGCTGAGATATCTTCATCATGTGGAATCTGGTCTATATCACTATATAAAACCAAATTGTAAAAAAAAGTTATCAGAAGCAAATAATAATGCATGTAAACATTTCAAATAAAAGTAATGAGATATAATACCTTAAGCAATCCTGTGTTACTATGTAAATAAATGGTTTGTGAATATTACGATCATATTCCCTTGCCTGTAAAACCAAATATTAAAAGACTTTAATAACTTGTAAAGTCTATCATTTTGCCATAAAAATATTATTTTGTGTACACTTACAGAACTGTCTTTATTTTTTGATGGTGCAAGGTTAGCAACAGAAGAATTTGTATCAGTAAGAATGCCATAAGCATATTCTGAAAAGAAATATAAAGCTCGGCGAATTGCTCGAAAAGATTTATTATCATTATCTTGATTATCTTTATAAGCTTGGTTTATTTCAATATCTATTAAAAAAATAAATCTTAATATAAGAATAAATCTCAACCTGTTCTAAAATAGAAACAAAATCATACCAAGAAGGGCAGAAGATTCATCAAAAAAAATGGCTATTTTTTTTGTAATTTTATTATCAATTTTTTGAGCATCCCAATTTGATTTTAAGATCTCTTTTGTTGAATGAACCTTCTTCCAGAAATTGTTTTCCAGTTCCTATTTTTAAAAAAAAATTAAATAATAACATGTTAATCACATATCACAACATTAGCAGAGAAAAATATATCATCTTACAGTATTTGTCAATAATTTTGAAGACTCCAATTTCATCTCATAAAACACAAATATCATTGATTTAAGCCATATCTTTGCCATTTCTTCTGCAATTGCTATATTTGTTGCTTTTTTAATTTCTTTTAGCATAATATCACTCTTTGGTGTTGCTGGGGGGTATCCAGTTGAGCCTTTATCACGAAAACATATATATATTAAAGGGTGTGATTTTGCAAGCTCACATATAGACCTTGTTTTGCCATATCCTGATGATTGAACAACAGGTAAGTAATTGTAGTAATTTTCAGGAGATTTGGAAACTTTGCTTAATCGATTCTTTAAAAATGACATATAATTGACATGGTCCTTGAAATCAATTTGGAAAGCACGATTCAGATCTGTATAAAATATCAGTTAGTATCAACAATTGAGCAGGGTTAAAGAAACAAAATGTCATTGAAGATAAACCTGAATCCTTATATAACTCTTTATTCCTAGGTTTCTCTTCATTTAGATCATCAACTATAATTACAAAAAATGATGCAGGTTGATAAAAAAAAA